TAAAATAGCGCTCAATTAAATGAGTGATTAAAGCTTCTACTTACATACATATGCATCTAACTATTAATAGTGTTCACGTTAGATTCATAAACTAAACTGACATCGATTTAATAACAGTTATCATAGGTCAACTCGTAAACATATTTTTAATTACACACGTGTGTAAGTACAGTCTAATAATAATTAAAATAAACATAAAAAATACGTGTTAATAACTATGCATATAAATCAATATGCCTGACTAACTAATAATTACTTGCTATTTATGCCATTGCACAATGTCAAAGTGCACTTTTTTGTTGCATTAATAAATAAAGTGCGAGTACATGCACGTGCATGTATGTATGTACATGTATTTTTTCTATTCGATAAGCGGCTTTAGAAATGCATTTTATTAATTTCTTCAAGGCTTGAAGATAAGAACTTAAGGCGTAAAGTCTAGTTTTTTTATTGGAAATTGAGCTTTCACAGTTCACAGAATAGCTTTTGTAAATCGGCGTAAAGCAGTCAACTGCGGACCAGCCACATCCAAAGTGTATCGCACGGGAGAAGCTTTTTGAAGCTTTCTACGGATTTTGTCTGCAGGCAGGCAAGCCACTGCCCATCACCGATCTAAACCAGTGACGACCAGAAAGAAATTATGTCATGTGCGCGCCGGTATATTATCCTTTGAAAGCTTTGAAAAGCTTTGCTCATGGACTACGTTTGGTTTGTGACTGAACTAAAACTTTGTTCTCTGATTTATAGCTCTGGTCAAATACTTTTCGTGTAAAATCTTGTTGAAATGTCAAACAGCCAAATTACTCTCTGAAGTAAGAGTAAAAAGTGAGTAACAACAAAATGTACGGGAACAAAAAAAGCATTATTCCTGTAAAAACGTCAACCAGTGATCGCTTGACACTTTTCATGATTTTACCAGAAGAAAAAGTTCAGCTAAAATCTTGCAACTTCATTCTCTATACACAATAATCCAAAAATCGCTCTTATTTAGTAGTACGGGATTATTTCTCCCGTAACTTCCTGCAATTTCGTGTAAAAACCTGTAAGTTCATGGAGTACTCGCTCAGAGCTTATATATTTGGTATAAACATGTATGCAATAATCTGTCAAAATCTGATGTTCTTAGACTAACGGGGCACTTCTGGCTGAGGTAGTAAAAAGTCTTTTATAAGACTAATGAATGATAGATAGTTCGAAAAACAAAAGTCTTATAATAAAAGCTCTCTCACTCATTCACTACTCGTGATGAAAAGCTATTTTGAAAGATACATTCCAACAGTCGCAATGGCCGATTGAGCAAAGTACGGATATACCACTCTTAGTTTAGATATTTTTTTTTTAATTTTTAGAATTTTGTTTTAATTTTTTAATTACGTTCAACTTTTAGAAACTTATTTTATTCATTTCTTCATTTTTTTAATTTAATTTGTTTTTCTTTTCATTTTCTTTTAATTTGTTTATTTTGTTTTTAAAAGAAAAATATGTTTGTTTTCTTTCATTTCATTTTCAGGATCTTATTTTGTTTTTTTTGTCTTTTTTTAATTTTTATATTTTTAAAATAAAAGTATTTTTTTTTTTCTTGAAGTACTATTTTTTGCTTTTATGATTTAATTTTTTTTCTTTTTCGCATTTAATTTAGATTTTATTGTTTTCAAAAGATTTTTTTCATTTCATTTATTTTTTAAAAATATTTTGTTTATTTTATTTAATTTTTTTTTCATTTTTAACATAATTTTCTTTCTTTTATTAGGTTTTACTGTTTTTTGAAAATAAAAAATATATATTTCTTTAATTTATGCACATAATTTAGTTAAAAAAAAAAACGTATTTCGGAAGGGCGAACAGCATAGCAGATATTTCAATTAGTTGTTTAGAAATATTTCAGTTAGTTATTTCGAAAAACAGTAAAGAGCTTTCAAGATAGTTACCAGATATGGCATTTGTCTTACGAAAGACAGTTGCCAGAATTGCTCTGTAATATTGAATAAATGAATAAAAAATAAAAAGATCGTGTGTTGTAGTGAAAAGCTTTAGCAAATTAAGTCACATTAGGCTGGGTCTCGAAAAAAGCCAAATCCGTTGGTTTTCATAATTTTTCTTTTGTTTGTTTTCTGTTTTGAATAGTATTCTTATTTTTATACGAGGGTCGCTTTTATATTTTGCGCCTTATATTGAAAACAAAGTAAAATAATTATGAAAATGAGTTATTGTTTTTCAATATATTATCGTTGGAAGTCAATATACTTCTGCATTCGCTTAAACCAATTTCCGAATTTTCGGCACGAGTCCTTTTTTGGGCAGTTGTGAAATTAAGCGGTATTCAACGAGAAAAGATCTTCTTCAAGACCAAATTTTCATTTAATATTGAATGTATGCTGGTCCCACTAATGCCCAAAGATGCCTCTATCTCGCTGAACTGAAAAAGGAACAAATAAAGTTGGTAAATGAAATCGTTATACGTAAGGTTAAGCTAAAAATACCAAACTTTTCGATAAATATATTGAGCTACAGCTCATCACATGTAGTGTTTTTTACTCATATGAACACACATCCGGCCTAGTGTACATACATATGTATATAGGAATGCACAGCGGCATTAATAACATGCCTTGTACGTATGCCATTTTCTTGATAGACAGTTGTAATCAGCAAAGTCAAATGACGTCAATGACGCAATCACTCATAAGGCAGCATCTACAATAGATAGGGAAAAACAGGAGCTATCGAAGAGGTCACAAATGTGGTCAGACGTCAGTTAGACTGGAAAAATGTTGTATAACCGTTGTAAAAAAAAACACTCCGAACACCAAACCTTGCACTATACATACTTCATAAATTGTTTGAATTGCGATTAATTTTACGATGATGGAGTTGAATTCAACCTTGCACAGCAGTCGCTCTCTGCTCGTCTTAGCCTAGTTTGAGCCTCAAAGATTACACTCAAACCCTCCGGTAGTCGATTGCGGTTCTAAGCCAATACGAGAACGCAAAACGACTTCTCTTTCCCCTGCAGTCAGCTAAGTACTATAACGAAAAAAGTTTTTATTTTCTTTTTCGGTTTGGGGGCCTAGCTCTCTTCCAAATTCCTATGATACTAAAATGTAAACTCGCGCCAAAAATATCACAGACTAACCAACAGGAAATGAAAATCATTTAAAAAACAAATCATATTAAAAAGCTTTTTATGAATATCAAGTAAAAGGAACACTAACAAGAAATTTTTTACAATTAAATTTTTAATTTTGTTACAGATGTTATAAGGCGGATATGAAAGAGAATCATAAGAAAATATTTTGTTTCATAAACGTCAATGGTTTTTTGCCACTGCGCATGCAACAGCAACAGACATACAGATGCAATCACCCAAAGCCAGAACAAAAATAACAACCAAAGAGGATCTACTTGAACTTTGTACGAGGCAGCTGTTATTAAAAAATATACAAAATTTTACGAAAACAATTTTGTTAATGAATTTGATAAAAAATTAAAGGCAACGAACCGGTTTATGAAAATAAGATTAAAAAATGTAAACAAAAAATCTGTCGCTGAATGTATTAACGAACTCGAAAACACAAAATAATTCATACGAAAACAAACAATGTCAACAACAACAACAACAACTGCTATCTACCTACTTGTGAACGTATTTATATAAATACATACATACATACCTGTATAAAAAATCTTGCAGGCAAGTGTGCAGAGTCACTGGCGCAAGTGCAACAATAGCAAAAGCAAAATAACAAAATAACGTAGCCGCTCGCTCGCTACAAAAGGCCTACACAGGCAGCGACGACAAGAGTTGAATATAGCCAAGCGACCAGCGATCGAACAGCCAGTTACATATTTAGTTGCGCCGCGACACCCAAAGACTGCAGACGTGATTGTGCATATAACGAGTAAATAAAAATAAAATTAGTGATATTTAAAGAAATAAAACAAACAGAGGGACAGAAAAGTGTAATCAAAAGATCCTCGCTGGCAAATAGGGTTTTCAAATAAAATTTTGTTGCATGCAAAAATAGTGACGTGATCCCGAAGTACCAAAATAAGCAACCAAAAAAAAAAACAAATTTTTTATAAAGATTTTCCCCCTTCCTTACACTTCACTTTCGCTTCAAGTGAAAAATGCTTCGCCACTTGGTGCGCTCTGTGCTTTTTGCGCCACCTGTGCAATCATCCGTGGCTGCCGTCGCATCAGGCGCCCGGCATCTGAACACTGCGGCCACTGCACAGCCCACACAATCTGGCCTCAATCATCCAGACAAATTTCTCACCTACAGCGAAGAGGAAGGCTACATCAAACAATCGCATTTTGACCCAGTCGAGGTGCTCAACATCACAGTGGACAAATACGTGTGGCGAGATTTAAAGAATTATGAAAATAACATTGCGGCGGTGAGTGCAAAAAAAATGTATTAATAAATAAACCATACTTTTTAACATCTAATCTAAAAACAAAATCATTTCATTATCGCATTCTGAAATCTAACAAAAATGTGTTTTTTTTTTTTTTGAAAAGCTCATACATAAACTTTCACATTATAGCAATAAGCTTTCCGCCCACTCTACCGATAGGGATTTTAATGAATTAAATAAGTTGGACGTGGCCAAATTATTTTTAAAATATTTTTTTATTAGTTAATTTTTAAAAAAAATCAGTGATTTTTTGTTGCAAGTTTGTTTCCGTGCTAAGTACAGAGTTTTTATGTTTCTATGTATGTATGCATGTATGTAGCAAACCAAATTGAATGTAATGGAATTTTTGAGCTTTCGTACTTAATTGGCAAGATTTCAACGCGAAATGATGGACTTTAGAGAGAAGCCGATGTTACCTGAAAATGCTTGTTCTTGTGCTGTCTTGGCCAGCGAAAGATTTTACATATTTTCTCATCATATGGAACAGTTATGCTTTTCTACTAAGTTTCCTATAAATATTTTATGAACGCGCAGAATTAAAAGCTCTTTTAGAATGTTCAAAGCTTTTACATTGCCGCGCAAAGCTCTCATTATGAGGTTATAAAAAGGAAACAAACCTATTGTAGACAAAGTTTAGAAACTTCTAAAGCTTTTTTATTGCATTTAGAAGCTTTTATTGTGACGATAGGCTATTTCAGATTTTATAAAATAATTGGCTAGAAATTTTGTGAATTTTTTATGGAAAATGAATCCTTTTCGCTAAATCATTCTCTAACGTGAGCTTCATACCTTTTTTGAAGAAAGTAAAACCTGTTTGACGTTTCATATAACATGTAAAAATCTTACCAAGACCAATAAACGGAACAGGAGGTAACTGAAGATAGCATAAAGCTAGAACCGATTTGTCTTAAGGAAATTCGCTCTAAAATAAACAAATGAATAGAGTCTAGTTAAAGGGTCAAAAATACGCTAAAAAACTACCTCCTTTAAAAACCTCAAAGTTTATCGAAAAACAGTTCAAAAAACTTAGTGCTCTCTATTTGATTACAAAATAGATATTTACGCTTTCTTGAGTAGTGTACTTTCGCAATTCTTTATTTATGTCCTCGTACATTAGTTGTTGTAAGTAAATTAGGGTAGCTTTATTACATAATAAATAATAAAGCTTAATCTTTCTATGGCAACAAAAATTAGAACAAACGAAAAACAATATTTGCGTAAAAGTAAAAACTGATTAACCCAACGCAATAAAAAAAACATCTACTTTGTAGCCACAATTAGTGCCTTTGTTTGATTTGGCGTTTGTTTAAATTGTTAGAGAATTGTCTGATAAGTGTGCGAACTTTAAGCGAAAGACTTGACGCAGGATTTGAAGTATTGTAGCTGATAAGATAAGATTTTAAATTTCGAGAAAAAAATTAAGAAAAACAGTAAAAACAAACTTACAAAGAGATATACATGTGTACTTATGTATAAACATACATAGGTGCATGTATTTCTGGACGCACCTATCGTCGCCTGGGTAAAAGATTGTCGCATGTTATGCACGTACGTATGACGCTTACGACAATCTTTTACCCAGGCGACGCTATGTAAATGTCAAAATATTGCATGCTATAATAAAATTGTAGCATGCGTGAAAAACTTACAAGTTCAGGCACAAGTCTGATTTCCTTCTTACATACATATGGGCAAATCCTGGGTTACGGACGCGACATTTCTACTACTTTAGAGTTAAATAAATCATACGAAAACTGAAGTCACTTGTAAAAAAAATTGCCGTTATGTACCGTCTTTTGGTTGACAAAAAAATTATATGCGCTTGCAACACTCGACACGTCGAGAAAATCGATGAAAAGGAGGGCATAACGGACGCGACAAAAACAGAAGTTATTTCAGAGTATATGTAAAATTAAGCAAAACCCAGCGAATTCTGTAAGGTTTTCCTTTATTAAACATTCTTTAAATAAAGTCAAATTATGGACCGTTACCACCAATTCATTTTAAATCAGAAGCAATTCGTTGTTGATTTAATTTTGAATTAAAATCTAGTAACGGGCGTGACATATCGGACGTGACAGATTTTTCTCCCATACAATATTTTTACTAGTAACACATACTAAGTTTAATTTTTTATTTAATTTTTTCAGTTATTCTCTCCACCGTTTCGCGTTTTCAACACCTTTTTTCGCCATCTGATTACGAAATTTAAAGTTATAAAGCCGTTTGAATTCATTTACTTGCATTTTCGGTTCAACTTTTTTGGGAAATGCCCATATGTAGCTTGTTGCTCGCCTTCACAACCCTTTAGAAACGTGCTGGCACTCAGTCAAAAGTTTTCGTTTTATTACCTTGACTTCTCGCGTGCCTCTCGTACTATGGATATCGTCGAGAAATCGCCTAACAAAGCAAATCAACAAGAATAGTTATTAATTGTGCCAATAAGCATATTCACATTTGTGTACTTACATATGTATGTATGTATGCAAGTTTGTATATTTATTTAACGAGATCTATGATACAAGTGAAAAGTTGCACCAGCTTTTCAATTAAGACACTAAAAGCAATATAGTGTAGGTGCATAGATACATACATACATGATATATATAGTGTGTATATAAGTAAGTAAATCTGTATTGTTCGCCAAATGAAAGAATATCTTTTAAACCCTGCAGGAAAATTCACTTGTACTCTGCCAAATGGGGCTTAGGGCTATTAGATCTATGGATAAATGTGAGCAATGTAGAGCTCATTGTCATAGGGATCATTAGAGAAATTTTAATATACATATAAACACTATGAACTATGGACATAAATATATGTCGGTAGCTTAGTTAGCAGTCTTTTCTTCAATGCGATTTATGCAGTATCGTTTGTGAGGTATACGGTATACCTAATGGATATTTGTTTAGAGATCGGCGATCGGTTAGATCAAGCAGAGGCCTCAAATTAATCATCGGCTGACACTTTCAATCAAAAAATTATTTTGCTTAAAAATCGGGGACTGGTGTTGATATAATCGAAGGGTCTTCCAGAATATTCAACAAAGCTAACAAAAGTTTAATTTTCTGTCGACCAGCATCGCCATAAGCGTGGTCTGAGGTTTGAGCAGATTAATTTTCCTTTATAAGCTTACTTTTAAGAAATGGTATTATAATTTCCCACTGTCGGCCGCTGTGGTGTAGTGGTTAGCAGTGCGCGCTTCCACTCCGCAGGGCCTGGGTTCAAGCCCCGGTCAAAGCAACATCGCAAAAAATATAGAAAAAAGGTTTTTTCTTAACAGCGGTCGCCCCTCGGCAGGCAATGGCAAACCTCCGAGTGTATTTCTGCCATGAAAAACAGCTTCTCATAAAAATACAATCGCCGTTCGGAGACGGCGTAAAACTGTAGGTCCCTCCGCTTTGTATGACAACATCAAGGCGCACGCCACAAATCGGAGGAGAAGCTCGGCCAAACACTAACATATGTGTAAGCGCCAATCTATTATTATAATTTCCCCAAGCGAAGTTTTTAGACAATGATTTCCTTATAATTTGTGTGAAACATCATATTAGAATATTTTGTACGTTGGACGATCGAGATCATTCGAATGTACCTTAGCTTCTAGCTATCGTTCTCTCTAACTGTTTAAGGAGCCGAGTCCATCACATCAGATCATTCCTTCTTAAGGGGTCTCAATTTTAAGATTGTCTTTTGGGCATAAATATACCCCGCCTTGTTTTCTTACGACGTTTCTCAAATCTCAACACGCAGATTACCAGTACGCGGGTTAGGAACAAGAAATCGCCAACATCACTTTCCTGCTGGGGTATCATCTGCATATCGTCTGCATATGGTTTGCATATGGCTTACAAGTGGTGGTATGCATTTTTAAGTGAAAAGGTCAACGTTATATAGAGCGCAGCCTCGCGTTTCAACAACAAAAAAAAAGTAGCGCGGTGCCAAAAATAGCTCACAGTGTATTCATCATATGCAAACTTTCCAGCCTAATGATTTTGCATTAACTGCGAGCATCACAACTAAAAAGTGCTCGGTTAAGATTAGTCGGAATGATGCACAGCCAACTACTCTCAGTCAGGCGCTCACAAAACGTTTTCGCTCAATTTAAAAATAACAAAATTCTCTTCTTTTTTTTGTGGCAGCCTTTGAAAGTCCGCCTACACTTGGCGATTGCAAGATTGTCGTTGCTATTTCTGAGTGCTCAAAATAGCACGCTTAGACTTTGCCCTTAATTTGATGTCTGCACTTCTATCTGCGTATGCAAAAATTTACACCTACACTTTTGGCCGACACAGCCTAGGCAAACTTTTATTTCTGTGCCGTAAATTAATATT